GATTTACCTTTTCTTTCTTTCTTTCTTATATATATATATATATATATATATTTCAAAATTTTGACTAAAAATTCTTATTTCAAGAGTCTCCTCTCGTAAAGAAGAATCTCATTGAAAGCTTGAGAAGATTATGAAAGTCTATTCCTATTTATAGGAAAAGATTTTTCAAAGAGAACCTACAAAATTCTATGTGGGATTCAATCAAATTATTTGAAACATATTGATTGGAGGGAGGGTTGAAAATTTCATTTCCTTCCAAAATTAAATCTAGCATTCAATCAATTTATTTGGAGGGAATGTTTAAAAAATTTAATTTCTTTGAAATAAGTGACTTTTTTTTTTATCAATTATGACTTTATTAAATATTATTAATAAATACTATGCAACAATTTTTATTTTTATTTGATTATTTATATATATTTTTATTTATTTATAATTTATAGTTATATTTTTTAATTATATTATATTAATTATGACGTCACGGTTCGACCGCTTTGACCCGACGGTTGAACCGGTGACCCGTCCATCCGGTCCCTTTTCCGGTTCGCTCACTGGTCCGGTTTTGAAAACATTGATTAACACTTTAGTACTGCTGCATACAAACAGAGTTTGAACAAACTAGGCTAAATTCTATTAGGAGCAAACTTCCAGTACTAGTCTTACTCAACTCCAGGTAGGGACAAACAATTGTTTTTTCAAACCAACCTAGACTTGAGTAAGACACCTCTTTATACCTCTATCTCATTCAAATGCTCTTATGCTATCAAAGTTGCAACAGAGTTAAACAGCTCTACCTAAAGAGCACAGTCTTCAGTACCGATCTTACTTAGCTCCATGTGGGGGCAAACAATTATTTTTCAGAACCAACCTGGACCTACGTAAGACCTTCTTCTTTCATTACAAAACCAATCACAGTCGTACAACATATTCGTTAACCAGACCGAGCATCTATTTGGCCCTGAGGTCCCAACAGTGCTCGGCCGGGAGCAAACAATACAGAACCAGACCAAGCATCTATTCGAAACAGTACAGAACCAGACCGAGCAGCTATTTGGCCCTGAGGTCCCAACAGTGCTCAGTCGGGGGCAAATAGTACAGAACCAGACCGAGCATCTATTCGGCCCTGAGGTCCCAACAGTGCTCGGCCGGGGGCAAACAGTACAGAAAACATTCAGACGTAAAAGCAAGAAAGCATCAGATTGCAAAATCAAAAGGAAAATTCCATCATCCAACAAAGACACAGTTGACCTCACAAACAGCTTGTCTTGCCAAACATAATGGGGCAACTCGTCAGGAAGACCGAGCTCCAGTACAACAAAAAGCAAAAAGAAGAAAAAGCAAAATGTGACAAACTTCAAATCGTTTCAATGGTCACTTCAACTTTCAGCAGCAGGAGGAATAGCAGGGGTAGCAGCAGCCTTCAAACCCAAAGATTTTGAGGGAACAGGAATATCTTGAAACAGAGGAGACCCTTCAGGAATTTGAGCAATAATTAGGGCACTTGTCCAGCCTTTGAGACAAAACTAAGGGAAAGACATAGAAATAACACTAGTCACCGAAATAGTTGCACAAGGGCCAGCAATGGCGACAGAGATAGAAAAACAAGAGGAAATAAGGGTTTCAGATAAACTTACAGTGATTTGATGGGAAGACGACAAAGAACGTAGGTCTTGAAGACTGGAATCAAAAGAGAATAACAGCATTTGGAATCCGGTGGCAAGCGTCTGGATAGAGCACTGTCGGAACAAAGATGGGAGAATGAAAGGGTTTTGGGATTTCAAAACTTTGAAACAAGCAAGGAAGACGAAGAGACAGCCCTAGGGTATTTATGACCCTTGACCAGCGTGATGGTACAAATCACGTCCCTCTATACAGAATCAGTGTCTTTTCTCTACACACCAGTACCATGCTACCATGTGTCACCATGGGAGGACACATGCAGAGCGCGTGTGTTAAGATCGAACCGCCACCAAGGCCGAACTAGAGCAGACCCGAAACGACGCGATGGTTGGGGTAATGAACAATAGCTCTCCCCCAATGGAAACCTTGGCGCGAGCTAGGGGGCAAATGAAGGGGCTAAATATGAAACGGGTCGGATCCAAGCCTTGGGCCGACCCAATCCACTAAAGTCCAAATCTAAGTGGGTCAGATGAACAAATGGGCAAGCCAATTAAGCCCAACTCCATGATTAACAGTCTACCCAAGTCCTCAAGCACTTGGGCCCAACTCGCAGTGGAAAGGCTAGTCCAGCCGCGATGCTGGGCTGGGCCAAGCTGCAAGACTTAATCTATGGGGCGAGCTGATTAGTCGAACCCATCATCAGAACTAAAGTGGACCGAGCCCATACAAAGATATTCGAATAGACCAGCCCCTCTCTATAAACGATCTTGTAAAAGGCCGAGCCGAGGCACAACGGTACCGAGCTGAGGAAACCTCTTAGAGAAACGTGGAAGCTATGAATACATGTACATGGAGGATGCCACCTCAGCTGGTCCCCTCCCCCTAGAATCACGGAATTGGTTGATCAAGGGAATGTGGTCTGTTATCAGCATGATTACAACAAGTATATGCATCAATTATCAACAACTTGATGGTCCCCTACCTTGAGCAATGTTAAAGTAAGCCTAGAAGCACCAAAGCTTTAGGAAACCATCTTGGGCAACAAGCAAAGTTTTCTATATATGCCTCACTCTCTTCACATTGAAGGTATCTGATCTAATCTGATCTTAACTTGAGCACAACCAAATTTACTTTTTTCATTTCCTCTCTCTACACCTAGAGAGAGAGTCCTTCATCTTCTCTGATCACTCATTCCCACGCCGGAGGGGTTTTCCGGCCAACCCCGGCCGGGTAGCCTTGACGGTGTTCTGTGTTGAAGTCCTCAGTTCCTGGACAGTTCATTCAGTTGTGGAGCTCCGATCCACTTTCATCTAGTGCGGTATCCGATACGCACAGAAGCCAAGCAACGTTCTATTAGATGAAGACATGGTTGCTCATATGGGTGACTTCGGCATTTCCAAAATTTTAGTTGAAAATAGGATTGCAACACAAACCCAGACTTTGGGTACCCTTGGCTATGTTGGCCCAGGTAAAATTTTCTTTTCCCCTTTTGTATTTGCAATTTTTCTTTTTAATTTTTCATGACCATTCATTCAAATATGTGAAAGGTATATTATATTTAGGGAGACGTGCATGTAAGTCTTAAGAAGTGGACTTATTGTTTAATAGGTCACTACAGGAAAAAAGGTGTACAACAACGTTTTTTTTGTGGCGTTTAGGGAAACGCCACTATAAATTAACGAAACACAACGTTTTCGAAAAACGTTGTGTCTGATCTCAGTGAAACGGCGCCGTATTGGGTCAATGTATTGACCGTCAAAACCTCCGTCTCTTCAGTCTCTCTTTCTCAGTCTCTACCACAACTCAGTTTCTCTCTTTTCCAAAACCCTCGATTTGAAGCTCTCACACTCTCTCGCTCAGTTTCAAACACACACTCTCTCGCTCGCTCAATTTCTCATTCTCAACCCTTGATTTGCTCGATTGCAGATCCAAAACCCTCGATGGTTTGCGCTTCATCGATCTTTGTCGCTTGCAATCGAACTCTCTAGCTATTATTCATCGATCTCTGTCGCTCGAGGGCTTTGCTCTAGCTGTTCTTCATCGAACTCGAACTCGATCTGTTCTTCATCAAATCGATCTGTTCTGTTCTTCATCAAATCGCAGATCCAAAATCCAAAATCGATCTGTTCTAGCTGATCTCTCTTGCTTTTATATCAGGTACATTTTTCATTCTCTACTTTCTCATTGTCAAATTTGCTGATCTGTTCTACTTTCTCTGTAATTTTTTCGTTCTTTAGTTTAAAAAATTTGGATTCTATTTACTTAAATTGTTTGTAATTGCGGAAGTCTTAGTGGATTCTATTTACTTAAAATGTTTGTTTGTTTGTAATTTTAATTTGGATGTAGGAGACAATAGGTCACTTGATCAAATTCCTATTGCTTGCAAAGATGCAGCAGCAATTTTGTTTATGTTTGATTATTAACTACAATTCCACTTGTCTTGTATGCCATTGGTAGAAACTTTATGATCTATGGGAACATTTGCACTTGATTTTGCAATGAATTCCAGTGTTGTTGGTCTTCCAGTTTTAATCCCGACCCCCTTGGTATCATGCCATGATGTTAAACTTGCGGCCTTTCTAAATTAAAGTCTCTCATTATTGTCCTTTAATGAATGTCTGCTTTTGCTACTATTTCAGGAACTCTGTGGAAAAGGTGGTAATCTTTTGCTTGTTCAAGCTATTTTAAACCTAAAAATCACTCCATTGTTTAGAGAATCATCCTCAGTTGTGGCTGCTGTGTCTAGGCTAAAGTCTAAAATTTTAACAATTGTAAGTGCAAGTGATTGGCATGACTGGAGGCTTAGGCTAATTGAAAATTCATCTAACTTTTACTATGTGATACTTTTTTGAATGAACTCCATTCACTTACCAACCACAACTCCTATTTCTACAGCTGTTGCATCTGTGTGAAGCAGAAAGCATATCTTACCTGGATGAGATTGCCAGCACCCCTCAAAGCATGAATTTGGCAAAATCTGTTGCATTAGAGGTTGGTCAATTATGATGCCATTAATCATCCAATTAGTTTCTTTATCATGATCAACCTACTTTATTTTTTGATATCATCTCTTTTTTCCATGGAACCTGCTTATCTGATTGATGGAAACAAGATGGAGGGAATCATTCCAAATGAGCTTTGTCTTTTGAAAAAGTTAGGCGAGTTGTCACTCCAAAACAATGGCCTCTTTGGACCAATCCCACATTGCATAGAAAATATTAGTTGTCTACAGAAGATGCTACTAGGTTCTAATGCCCTCAACTCATCAATACCCGTAAACTTTTTGGAGCCTTGAAAATCTAATAGTCTTGAATTTATCTTCTAACAATTTTGGAGGAAGCTCAACGCTGAATATAGGAAAGTTGGAAGTCATAGAAAACATGGATTTATCTTGGAACAAAATCTTGAGAAACATATTGCCATTCATTGGGGCCTTTCAGCGCCTTAGCTCTCTAAACTTGTCAAGAAACTCATTTGAAGGTACCATTCCACAATCTTTTGGTGATTTGATAGCATTGGAATCTATAGATCTCTCTTACAATAATATATATGGTAGCATACCCAAATCTCTTGAGAAACTTAGGTATCTCAGTTATTTGAACTTGTCATTCAATAAGTTGTCGGAAGAGATTCCAAGTGAAGGCTCTTTTGTAAATTTCACTACAAAATCTTTCTTTCATAATGAAGCACTTTGTGGAAGCCCATATTTACAAGTCCCACCGTGCAACCATGGTACCAAAAAATCGAATATGAAAAAAATTGTGCTCACATGTGTCGTAGCAACCACTGTTTTGGTGGCAGTTATTGGATTCTTATATATGCTGAGAAAATATCAACAAAGTAAAGTGCAGACTCTTGATTCTGTTGAATTGTTATCGACCGTGGAGCACAGATTGATTTCATATCAGGAGCTTTGTGTTGCTACAAGTAATTTTAGTGAAGCAAATTTGCTTGGAGTAGGAACTTTTGGTTCTATTTACAAAGGAATGCTTTCGGATGGGACAGATGTAGCAGTAAAAATTCTAAATTTGCAAGTTGACGGAGCTTTCAGAAGTTTTGATACAGAATGTCAAGTGTTGCGAACAGTCCGTCATAGAAATCTTGTTAAAGTCATAAGTTCATGCTTTAACCCTGAGGTAAGAGCATTGGTTTTAAAGACATAAGTTCATGCTCATAACTACTGCTTGAATTTCTTTCAAAGAATAAGCATCATGCTTGATGTAGCACTAGCTTTGAAATATCTCCATCATGGTTAGTCCGGGCCTATTGTTCACTGTGATTTGAAACTAAAGGGGCTAAATATGAAATGGGTCGGATCCAAGCCTTGGGCTGGCCCAATCCACTAAAGCCCAAATCCAAGTGGGTCAGATGAACATATGGGCAAGCCAATTAAGCCCAACTCGCAGTGGAAAGGCTACTTCAGCCGCGATGTTAGGCTGGGCTGAGCTGCAAGACTTAATCTATGGGCCGAGCTGATTAGTCGAACCCATCATCAGAACTAAAGTGGACCGAGCCCATACAAAGATATCCGAATAGACCAGCCCATCTTTATAAATGATCTTGTAAAAGGCCGAGCCGAGGCACAATGGTACCGAGCTAAGGAAACCTCTTAGAGAAACGTGGAAGCTATGAATACATGCACATGGAGGATGCCACCTCAGCTGGTCCCCTCCCCCTAGAATCACGAAATTGGTTGATCAAGGGAATGTGGTCTGTTATCAGCATGATTACAACAAGTATATGCATCCATTATCAACAACTTGATGGTCCCCAACCTTGAGCAACGTTAAAGTAAGCCTAAAAGCACCAAAGTTTTATGAAACCATCTTGGGCAACAAACAAAGTTTTCTATATAAGCCTCACTCTCTTCACATTGAAGGTATCTAATCTAATCTGATCTTAACTTGAGCACAACCAAATTTACTCTTTTCATTTCCTCTCTCTACACCTAGAGAGAGAGTCCTTCATCTTCTCTGATCACTCATTCCCACGCCAGAGGGGTTTTCCGGCCAACCCCGGCCGGGTAGCCTTGACGGTGTTCTGTGTTACAGGTCCTCGGTTCTTGGACAGTCCATTCAGTTGTGGAGCTCCGATCCACTTTCATCTAGTGATCCGGTACTCATAATTGGTGCGGTGAGTGTGGACTCTTCATCTCTGAGTTTTGCATTTGATTTCGAAAATGGGAATTGAGGATATTCCACCATCGGCATCGACTCCACCGACGGAGAAGACGAAGGATAAGGGTCTGGCGCTGCCCACAGTTCTGGAGGAATAGACCGGAAACAACAACCGGACTCCAGAATCTATTGAGCATTGGCAGCTCTTTGCTGGTGGTTCTTCTCATCATTTTTTATTAGAAAGAGATTACAGAGATCGTATCATTGATTCCATGGGAAAGAAGATACAAGAATTAAAAGCACAACTCAAGAAGACAATGGGCAACCCAATGGAGAAAAGGACCAGCGTAGAATTCTCTCATCTGCGCCGGAGAAGTCCATCTCTAGAACCACCAGGAAAGAAGGTCCCAAGGAATGAGTCTAGGTAACGAAGTCAGCCAATTCCGGTGCAAAGTGAAGCAACGAGCAGCCACACCCGTAGTTCACACCGGAGGAGGGCTAAGAGGCAGAGAACGGCCAGCCAGCAAACAGAGTATCCACCTCAGGATCTCCGCACCTAGTTGGTCGAGGACAGAGAAAATGAACAACAACGGGAACGGAAAGTTCAACATCTTGATCGCACTGTTCATCAGAGGGAGCACCGAGCACTTAATCGGCTCATCTCATCTCTATTTTCTTTTGTATCTAGCAGTTTCAGACCATGTTGTAAGCACAATACTAATTCGCGAAGTGGAAAAGAAACAGAGGCCGGTGTATACAACAAGACTCTCCTAGATGCCGAGATACGGTACCTACCATTGGAAAAGCTGCCTGACGCTCTGCTCATTGCCTCAAGAAAGCTACAACATTACTTTCAGGGTCACACTATCAATGTCCTCACTGAATTCCCTCTCAAGTCTGCCTTCGGCCGAGCTGATGTCTCGGGCCGAACAGCGAAATGGGTGGTTGAGTTTAGTGAGTTTGACATTCGGTATTAGCCCAGAACAACAATCAAGGCCGAGGTCTTGGTGGATTTTGTCACCGAATTCACACCCGCCTAAAGAACCGAACATAAGAACTCCAGCTCGGTACAGGTACCATGTACCACCGAACTGGGAAAACAATGTGCTTCAGAAACATGGAAAACTCTTCATTGGTAACATCTGGCTGCTCTATGTTGCCGGATTATCTAATAATCGTGGGTCGGGGGCAGGGATGGTACTCATATCTCCAGAAGGATTCACCTGGGAAAACAAGAACCCCAGCTCGGTACAGAGAACCGAGCAAAAGAATTCCAGCTCGGTACAGGTACCACGTACCACCGAACTGGGAAAACAATGTGCTTCAGAAGCATGGAAACTTTTCATGGGCAACATTCGGCTGCTTTACGTTGACGAATCATCCAATAATCAAGGTTCGGGGGCAGGAATGGTACTCGTATCTCCAGAAGGATTCACCTGGGAAAATAAGAACTCCCGCTCGGTACAGAGAACCGAGCATAAGAACTCCAGCTCGGTACAGGTACCACGTACCACTAAACTGGGAAAACAATGTGCTTCAAAAGCATAGAAACTTTTCATCGGCAACATCCGACAGCTCTACGTTGCCGGATAACCAAGGCTCGGGGGTAGGGATGGTACTCATAACTCCAGAAGGATTCATCTGGGAGCAATCTCTGGAGCTTGGATGGAAGGCCTCTAACAACGAGGCAAAATATAAAGCACTACTCGCAGGATTGCGCAGTGCCGAACAATTCAGTGCAAGTCAACTCCTGGTTTTCAATGATTCTCAGTTAGTTGTCAACCAACTCACTAGGATCTATAACGCGAGAGATGAAAGAATGGCAAAGTATACGAGCGGAACGAATCAATCAGGACAGAAACAGCCATCTTGATGCTCTAGCCTATCTTGGCTCATCGGTAAAAACCATAGATGCTAGAAAGATTTGGGTCGAGTTTTTGCCAGAACCGAGTATTGCATCTCCAGATTCAGTCCTCTATACGAACTTAGAACCGAGCTGGATGGATCCAATACTTAGTTTTCTGAGATCTGGCACTCTCCCTGAAGGCAAGAAATAGGCAAACAAAACCATCATTGATGGCGTAAAAAAGCGGGTTGAAAGTGCAAAATGAAAGTGGGTTGAAGAGTTACCCCATGTGTTATGGGCCTACCAAACCACGGTACGACTCTTGACTGGGGAAACTCCCTATTCCTTGACCTACAAAAGTGATGTTGTTATTCCACTGGAAGTCGGTCTCCTAACTATCCAGTCAGAACTGTTCGAATATACAAGTAACGAAGAAGCCATTGCTCAAGCACTAGACATAGTGAAAGGTCGAAGATAAGCAACACTGATCAGACTTGCAGCCTATCAGCAACAACTTATCAAGGGTTTCAACAAGAAAGTTCTCCCAAGACAATTTACACCTGGTGAATTGGTTTTGGGCAAAGTTATGGATCACAAAAGGGTGCTTGGCAAAGGAGATTTAGGACCTAACTGGGAGGGGCCTTACAAGGTTGCAGTCGTTGCTGGAAATAGAGCATACTACATCAAGGATCTCAAGGGCAAAGCCATACCTCGACCCTGGAATATAGCAAACCTTAAGAGGTACTATCAGTAAACTATCCCCCTTAAATATCTATCAAAGTGTAACAACATTTGTCTTTTCATCAATGGAATAAGTCTCTCTGCTTCCTTGAACATTTGTTTCCAGCACCTGTACAGTCTTAAGGCCAGAACAGATTGATCAACTTAGCCCTTAAGATTCAAGCTCTGGGGGCATAGTTCAAACTAAGGATGGTTTTAACTAAGGCAAAGTTAGCAATAACCCTCGGAATAAGCTTCATTGGGAATGAACGAATTTTAGCAAAGTCAAGGAGTGACCCAGGAATGAACTGTCAATCCAAGCTAGTTCAGGTCGTAATAGCCAGTTCGGAATTAGCTTCGGTTTTTACTGAACGGAATTAGGTTTGGTGTTTACCAAATGGACTTAGCTTTGGTATTTACCAAACGGACTCAGCTTTGGTGTTTACCGAACGGAATTAGCTTTGGTGTTTACCAAACGGACATAGCTTTGGTGTTTACCAAACAGACTTAGCTTTGGTCTTTACCAAACGAAATTAGTTTTGGAGTGACCGAACGGAATTTGGTTTTGGTTTGCACTCAAACATGCTAGGTGGAATTGCTTGGTGGAATTATGTTTGGTAACCAAAATGGAACTTAGCCAAGTGGAATTGCTTGGTGGAAACCGCACTAACAATTTTTTTTAATTGATCATTTCTTTTGTGGAAATCACAGAATTTTCAGAGTCACAAATGACTCTTTCTTAAGTACAAGTACATCAACATCAATGTTTTCAAACCCGGACCGGACCGGTCGGTTGGACCGGTTGGATCGAGAACCGGGCCTTGTTTCGGTTCGGTTAACCCCCTAAACCTAGAGTGGGGCCAAAACCGGGGAAAATGGGTGTCCCAGTGGTCGAACCGGTAGAATCGGTGAACCGGATCGGGTCGGAAGGGTCAGACGGGTCTCTTTTTTTTTTTTTTTTTTTTTTTTTTTTTTTTTTTTCTTTTTGGATTCAATCTAATTGTTTAAATCATATTTGATTGGAGAGAGAGTTGTAAATTTTATTTCCCTCCAAAATTAAATCTAGCATTCAATTAATGTGTTTAGAGAGAATATCAAAAAAAAATTAATTTCTTTAAAGCAAGTGACTTTTTCTTATCAATTTTGATTTTATTAAATATTATTAATAAATACTATGCAACAATTTTTATTTTTATTTGATTATTTATATATATTTTTATTTATTTATAATTTATAGTTATATTTTTTAATTATATAATATTAATTATGACGTCACGATTCGACCGCTTTGACCCGACAGTTGAACCGGTGACCCGTCCACCCCATCCCTTTTCCGGTTCACTCACCGGTCCGGTTTTGAAAACATTGATTAACACTTTAGTACTGCTGCATACAAATAGAGTTTGAACAAACTAGGCTAAATTCTATCGGGAGCAAACTTCCAGCACTAGTCTTACTCAACTCCAGCTAGGGACAAACA